CAAAAGCACAAACAGGACGGTGTAAATGGAACCTCATGGGTGACTTTCTTAGCTGTTGTACTCTCATTGTTAAATTGACTTTAACTGTACCAAAGCATCACATTTCCCATTTGTGTTTTGTGGCTTTTTTTAATGTAACTGAAATATTTTTCATTGAGTTTAGCGCTTGTTCAACATACGGACACATTGAAGGCCACAGCCCACAAACATTTTGAATATTACCACAGCACTTTGAAAATTCAGCTAATCTCGTGTACTATACGAAATGTCTCTGCTGAAATAATGAAGTAAAACTAATCATGCAAATAAACACTGACAAAGTTTATATACCTCCTTAACGAACCCAGATACTTTGTTTTGCAGGCATTTTGTTAATTGAACGCACTTCAAACTGTTAATTTGAAGCTAGTTAGAGTTCCCCGAGGCTTTATAGCAATAAAGAATTATGGTTTGTTAGTGGAAGCAAACAGTGGCATTGTTTTTATGTATGTGTGCATCTATTATTCATGTGAGTATATGTGTGTGCGCACGCATGTGTGCGCGCACTTCTGCATGGGCCCTTGAGCCAAATGCAATGTAAGGTGAATTGGGGAATTGAGCTTTTGATGGTGAATGTTCTTGTTAGTGTAAAATATGCTTATTCAAATCCCTGGTGGTCTTTTCAGTTTTAGCAAGGCAGTCAATTTGTGGCCAGGCGAGTCCTGGCTCCATGGATTCCCAATATGTGATGTGGAAGCAGAAATGTTGCAAAATGACAGTCCTTTCAATGCATGCTGGGCAAATAACGCTTACTCCTGTGGCTTAAAATTGTGGAAGCGTCAGTTTGAACACATAGTGTAGCATGAGAATCGAGATATCATGTGCATATGGTTTGGATGAAATACCAGAAACAAACTTTTAAATAATTAGAGAACTCGTTCTGCACAAACGGTTTCTCTGGCGACTTAATTCAATATGGTACATTAGCTAAAGATAGTTTGTTATAAGTAGTAGTTTCGATGGAAGTTTCTACTTTCATCAAAATAACCATGAAAAAAGCTAAAGCAGTGATGTGACGTTAGTATGTGTGTTGGTTTCCACAGGACAGCTCAGGCAGTGTGTCCGTCTTTATTTTTAAGGCAGTACAGACAAACTTGGGGCAATAGCAACATATGCAAGCACCTGCTCCTCCTGCACAACTTTCATTATAAACGTGCGCACTAATACTGCAGACTTAGTAAAGGCCTTCATCTTTTAACTTTTCGCTTTTGTACAACTTTTATTTGTGAAATAAATCTTCTGCAAGTCCTCATATTTTTACATTTGGATATACAGTGTATTCAGAAAGTGTTTCTGCCCTTTCAAGGTTTCCACATTTTGTTGTTTCGGGCACATCTCCAAAGGGATTCACTGTATTTTTTTCCCATTAGCAATAGAAGTGCAGAACTTTTAAATCACACAGCAGTTTTTTCTTTATGTGTTGTACTAATGAATTAAAACATGAAATATTGAAATAATCCAGTGATATATATTTAACATCTCAGATGGAATCGTATGCATCCTGCTTCTGAAGGTTATTACAATAAACCTGGTGAACAAAGTCAGACATCTGCTGATATGCTATGCTGTATTTCTTGAAAACTTGCAGAAAAAATAGAGCAATCCTGAGTAAACCTTTTTCAGGGTCTCAGAATGGAGCTAGATTTTAACAAATTAAATTAAAGACCTGAAGCATATCAACAAGAAAACACAGGAGGAGCTAGAGTCCTGACCTGAACCCGGTAGTGAGAATATCATTGTAGAGACCTGAAGGTAGCAGTACAATCCTTTTAGGATCATAAACAAACCGATTAAGATGATTAAGATACTTTAACCACTTGCTGCTAATGAACAAAAACACAAATCTTCTTTCTCGTTCAGTTTTATTGTGTATAAAGGAAGAAATTAAGGGGGGAAAGCGAAACAACTGACTACTGCTTGAATCTCAAACATATATGCAGATACGTGAAAATGTAAGTTATACATATATGTCACAAAAAATGAGAAAGCAAGAAAACACCGTTTCCATCCAGCTTCCATCCTTTCCTCTTGAGGATATTTAACAAATTGTTTTTCTAGTCTGTACGGTCAGTCTAGCTAAATCACCAGTGGTAAATCCAACCTTTGTCGTCTTTGTTTAGTCCTTCTGAACTCTGTTTTTTCTATTCTCCATCTCTGTGTTCTCATCTTTAGTTTCGGCCAATGACTGTGACTCGGAGGAGAATGCAGAGCTGACCTATTACACCCTGAGTCCAGACTTCACTATTTCCCCTCACGGAACAATCTTCCCCGCGGGACCTTTAGACTATGAGAGACCTAATCATCTGTATGAGTTTGTAGTCATGGCCATTGACAAGGGGGAGGTTCCTCGTACGGGCACGACTACGGTACGGATTAGGATGGCAAACGTCAACGATGAGGCACCTGAGTTCTCCCAACACATGTAAGTAAGACTTGTGCTTTATTGTTTAAGAGAAAGAGAGATAAGCTCTATATTATTCTGTGGCTGATTCCTGCCTGTCAGTCAGGGTGAAGGCAGGAGAGGCTGACAGTCTTCTGGTGACAGCATGATGTTTGGTGCAGATACCGAAGGACAATCTCCTGCAGTGTCTCTTGGTTAAGTTGTTGAGTGTAGGCTGCTGCACATACATTTTAGGTGCAAGCTGCCATTCACTCTTTTGAGGTGCTGCATGCAATTGAATTTTCAGTTGTATTGTTGGCACAGGGACACAGAGTTTCTCTGCATTTTCTTTCTGCAACTTGTTCAACAGAGGATTTTATTTAGCGCTGAAATAAATAGTCAAAGAATTGAACGTAGGACAGGCTTGATGTTTGAATTGCTCTTTGCTCCCTGGTTCCATCCTCACGAATGCACAGATGTGCTGCAGACTTACTTTTCCTCTTTTTATGGCACCAAAGTGAATATCTCTGGGGCTTTAAAACAAGCAATTTCTAAAACAATTATGCATTTAATTACATTTTTTAAAAATATGAGAAACAAACCTGTTGAAGCTCTTGGGGCCAAGACAAAAGTATCGCCGTTATCTGAGGTTTTCTTTTCTCAGTTTAATTAAACGCAAGCATTCCTGTCTTCCTTTCTCTGGTACACTTAAATTTACACTTCAGATTCAGTTAAACTGTCAGCACCTGTACAAAGTAGAATTAAATGAGCTGAACTAAAGAGCTGTGGGCTGAGGTTTTCAGTCAGCACTGATCCACCATCAGGGCCACATCTACAACATCTTCCTCTTAGAATAACTCTCCTCTCATGGTTGAGTTGCATTGATTCAGCTCCACAATTCCCTGCTGATTTCAAATAGAAATGGATCTATATGCAGTAATTCTTTGGCAAAAATATCTATTGCACATTCCTAAACATGCTGATTTGAAGCCATCAGTAATCAAGTCATTTTAGATTAAATCTGTCACCAGTGTTTCTGTTTGTGCACACAGTCCACTGATACCAAAGTAAATAAGGCAACCAGAACTACTTCACTTAGAAGTTGAGTGAGGGAGAGCTTCCCAGTTCAGTGTCACAGCTGCTGTTAGCACACTCCCCCCTCCCATTCGTGCTGCTGTGGTGTCTGCATCTTTTAATTGGTTGATTTTTCTGGCAGAGAGCTGGGCAGATTGGTGAGGCAGGGTCAATCAACCATGCCCACCAGCACCCTCAGGAGGTCCTGAGCCCTAACTCTGTGTGTGCGTAATGCTTGCGCCTATATATGTGCGTATTTAGTAATTGAGAAGGTCCCAAGAAAGCGAGGTTTTTGTATGGACAGATTGATGTGGTTATAAAGTGCATTCATCCATTGTGCATCTGATATGCATGTCTTTATGTTGTTTGTAGAAGAAAGGGACTAGTGTGTGTGTGTTTTGGGTTGTATTGATTTACTGTCAGCAACAGCCAAATAATCCATCAGTTCTTCCTCTGTAACCCTGAACCCCCTGTCTCAACTGCCCTAAAAACAGTACTTGACAATCTATGATTCATCATTCAGGCACGAACAGAGCTCCAGAGTCATCCATGCAGGCAAACACACTGGTGCAAAATACACTTAAATGTGCACACGTGATGGCATCTGTTATGTGTTTGATGAAACAAATACAGTAGGGCCAGTTTAGTGGGATTATGCTTTTGATAAGATTGCTTACTTTCCTTCTGTTAATTATGTTTCATTTGCCTGTGTGCGTGCAGGAAAAATGTGCATGTATGTTTAGTTACATGTGCTGAGCAGAAAGGAAAAAAAGCACAGAGAGGGGTCATTAAATATATCATTATCCAGGCAGAAAATGTGGCCTATTTATATTGATCCTCGGAGTCAAAGGGAAGCGATAATGAGCATCCGTTTGTACACGTTTTGCCAGTTTATAATGAATCTAGGTTGCAGTTCTCGAAAAATGATGTGACCACTTAAAAGTGGAATTTATTTGAATTTCTTTTCTTAATTACACAATGTGTTGATCTTTGTTATTGACTTACTAAAAAGAATGTGATATTTTTTTCATATTAGACCTCAAGATCCTAATATACATATTCTAGATGTAAAAGTGGCTGCAGCTTTATCATGTCACCCACTCAGTTTGAAGTCTTTATTTTATTGAGCATATTTGGCTGAGGCGATGGAAAGTTATCAGCTCCACAAGACTAAAAACTAGTATTTTACTCAAGAAAAACAGGCTTTGTG